ATCCTCATATCTGAGAGGGATCCACTATTTGGTAAAATCAGTTCTTGCACAGTTTATGCTCTAATTGGTTACAAACATTTCAGAAAAAGTCTGAAGTTTTAAGCCCTTTAGCTACATTAAAAGTGCTTTAGATAATTGTTGAGCATGTATCCAATTAGTGGTTACAATATAATGTAACTACTGTTGCATCAATTACTATGTAATATTTAGTTGCCGGTAATGCAAAACTTTGTACTGCATACTTGAATACATTTATTTGAATTATGGGTGTCTTTTTAATACTTTAACATGGGCACTATGAATAATGTATCTTCAAATTTTAATCTCCTTAGCTCTTCAGTCTCTTTCATCCATACTTGTTACTTCTTCACCCTTGTAATTTTTATATTGAGAATATTTCTTAAACCCTGTATTGTGAAATTTGATCCTGCGTTGTTGCATTTTAAGCCTTTTTAGACTTTCTTCACTACCTCATTTATGCTATGAAATCCTCAAGAGCTTTTGACATACAGTGTAAGAAAGATTAAATGTTTTAAACTGTGATTCCCAGTAGGAAGAAGACAAACCAGTAAATGTTTGCTTTAAATAAAATTTATTTACAAAGTCTCATAGTATTTGCTTCCCAGCTTGTAGCTTTGCCTTGGAATGCATTTTATCCATTACAGTTTGAAGATATAATGGACACATGGCTACAGATCTAAATAAAAACAACCCCTGAATTTTACATTTGTTAAAATATGTTTGAACTTCAATTTAGATACTTGGAACCCAGTCCTCTGTATTTTTCCACAAGTAACCATAGGATTGGGATTCTTTCTTTCTCCTCTGCTCTTTAAATTTACTATATGCGGACTCAATTTTTTCTCACATTTTAATTTTCCTATAAATTGGATTCTCTTAAAAAGATATAAACCTAATTGAACAGCTGCAAATAAAGCAGACATGTCAAACTCGTGACGTCGTGAGACGTATCGGAACTTTTCCCCCATTGCCGGCAATGGGGTGGGCGCGGTTTCCTCGTGACGCGTCCGGCCCACGGGCCAGCAGTTTGACACCCCTGAAATAAAGAATCCAAACTCTATAATGTTGATCAGACTCAAATAACAGATCTGTAGAATTTTACTCAATGTATAAGTATTTGCTGTTTCTTGAATACCAAGGACTCTTAATTCATAGAAAATGGGTCCTGCTGGGGAGGAAGGGGAAGGATTATTTAATTTCACTTGGAATGTATTTGTAGGTGGCACACTGGAATGCATGCCTGAGGGGTTTATTTAAATCTTCCCCTTTTTAGGCACATACACTCACAGCAGAAGTCAGTTCCATGTAACTTTCAATGCAGTTATAGAAGTTTATGGAATTGTAATGGCTTAATTCTTTGGTGGTGTTGCATTTTCATTTTACAATTAATATCATCTAAAATTACTGATTTTTGTAAGCCATTATCATTATCTATAATCATTATTAACTCTTATAGCTAAGAAATTTGCTCTGGGAAAGAACTAATGCTCCCAAGAAAGAGAAATGTTAGGTGCTAAAACATATTTTGGATGCCATGTAAATGTTGTATATAACCTGATGGTTTAACCCACGGGTGTCAAATTCGATCATGTCACATGACGTATCGTGATTTTTTTTTGCCTTTGCGGAGCAGGGATGGGCGTGGCCTGTGTGACACATCCAGTCCGCAGGCCACCAGTTTGACACCCCTGGTTTAACCCCTTGATATTTGCTTTGTAAGGATGAAATTCAGTGTCTACTCTTGCCATGAAATCTGGAGAAAAACTGCAAGGAAGAAGCATTTGATCTCCTGCTGCTCTTTTCAGTGGAGGAATTCTATTCATATTCTTAGATTCTAAACTTAATTTGAAATAATTTATCTATGTTGTCGGTATGTATATTCTGTTTAAAGCGTTGTGTCCGGCTCCCTAGGGGCTCATGCACTATTTAAAATTAAAACATGTATAAAACATATATCTCTGAAAGCCAACTTAACACCTGAAGCTGCTAACTTTGCTGCTGTATTCCATGTAGCTCTAGTTTTTAACTTAACATTTTTATTTAGAAACGTATGGTATTTTCTTCTCCTTCCGAATATGCCCTTAAGAAATCTATATTCCATTCAGAGAATAGGTAGACAATGTCTGAAATCAAGAGGGGAGGGAATTGTATTTGTGCTATCGAAGATAACAAATAGTAAAGAGGAATTGGAGATGAAACCATTATGGAAGAGGAGTGAAGGAAAGACAAGGAAATAGTCTTGGGTAAGAATTCATCCAGGGAGGGAACAATGCTTAATAGCATATATAGTAGTAGCATCTGATTTAAATAACTAAAGTTCAGGGAATCTGAAAGAAATGGGGGATTAGATATTTTGTATTGTAACAAATTATGGCCATTAAACTGGTGTAAGAAATGTGAAATCTCTGAAACAAAGATGTTTGTTGCCAAAGGAAAATAAACTTTCATTCTGTGGAAGAAGAAAGCAGCATAATCATTGGGAAGCTCACTCATAGGAGTATAGATAAGCTGATTTTGATTATAATTGCAATGAATCTCAGCAGACCTTGTCAGTCATCAGAAGTGATGGCATTATAAAGCCCAACCCTGAAAAGCACATTTATTTGTATCTACTACTGTTTCATTCATTTTGACAAGGCTACTGTATTGAGCTTCAAATACCTGCATGACTTTGATTCTTGCATTTAAATAAGGTGTTTTTTTTTTTAGATGGCTCATATTTAAGCTTGAATATGTTATAGGCAGACTTCAGGTTATAACCAGAATTGGGACTGGCACATCATCCATCACTATGTGAGGGGATTAAGTATTGTCATGTCTGGTTTTACAAGCTTTTTTGCCACAGTTAAGCAAATCACTGCAGTTAAGTGAACTATGCAGTTGTTAAGCAAATTGAGCATCCCCCATTGTCTTTGCTTGTCAGAAGATGGCTAGGAAGGTTGCAAATGATGATTGCCTGACCTTTGGGTACTATAACCATTCTAAATACATGCTAATTGACAAGTACACAAATTGTGATAATGTGACTGGGATGTTGCAACGGTTATAAGTGCAAAAAGAGCAGTCAGTCACTTTTTCCAGTGCCACTGTCACTTCAAACGTTTGCTAAACTAATAGTTGTAAGCCAAGGACTACCTGTAGAAGTTTACAAAGTGGACTTAACAATACTTAGCTTAAAATATTTACTTAAGAAGAAACTTATTTCCAATTAGCTATGATCTAATCAATTCCAGAAGCAAGCAACTTTAATAAAAGCAGCTTTCAAATTTCTTACCTGCCCATTAAAAGAAATCTTAGCAACTGGCATATATGGTTTTGGGAAGCATTTTAAACGCTCAACATGCAGAAACTGCAAGACTCAAAATACAGAAATCTTTTTCAAAAAGCTTCAGAATTCACTGCTAGTTTCAAGTATGAAAGATGGAAGGCAGCCAACTAATAATTTACTTCTAGATAAGGGTTTGTTTAGTTACAAACAAGCTCATGTGAAATTAAGGAAATTTGAATTTCTTATTCTGTGTAAATCTGCATGTTTCTCAATTACTGTCTTTCCACATCATAGGAAGCAATATAGCAAGAGTGCCAGTTCTTTGTTCCCAGATTACTGCAATTCATAAAGATTTCATTGCAAAGTTTCCTAAAAACAGTGAAGAAATGTTTTATAAAGCAGCAAGAAACGATGTAGAGAGGACTGCTATGAATATAAATACATGTTAGTGCTGATAGTGACATAAATCTGAGTGAGATGGAGGATGGCAGGACACCTGCAGGATAGGATGACTCGGATGTGAAAAAGTTTACAATGGAAACCAAAAGATCAAAAAGGAGCTAAAGGTAGTATTGGTGAGGAAAACTGTTCTTCCATTTGCATGCAGGTGGAAGAATAGGCATTTTATAGCATAATGCAGTGTTAAAAACAATTCTTAATATAACTAAATTCCAGGAAATGCTATTTTAAATTATACTGTATATACTTGCAAATAAACCAAGTATTTTAGGGTCTCAAATGCACTCAAAAATAATCAATTTCAGCTTATCAATGAATCTATACAGTGTATACCTGCATATAAGCCCATCTGCGGCCAAACAGACCCTCAAATTATTTTAACTAAAATATCATGAAAAATGCAGACCATCTTATCTGCAGGTGACACATTTTTATTGGTGTCACCTGCAGATAAAAATTGGTTAAAAATTTGAAGGTTGGCTTATTCATACATGGGCTTATTTGTGAGTATATATAGTACATCAAGAAATAGCAAATGAGCAGGTGAGTAGAGTCCCTTAAAAAAGAAGGCAGCTTAGGTTAGCTAGCTGCATGTTTCAGAATACCATGAAATAGGATAGTTACATGAACTTTGCAATGCACAAAAGGTCTGTCTATACTTCAATGTTTAATTTTTCAAATAGTTTTTGAACTTTGTTGGAACTGCTTATCTGGGTAATATAGACATGAGTAACAAGTCTCATCTATCTGTAATGTTGCTTAACATTTACAAATATACACTACAATGGTAATCCAATGATCAAGGGATTTATATCTGAGGACATTTGCACTGGATTGTGCTTTAGTATTCCCACATTTACATGTAATACAATAGGCTTTTGAAAGTACTGTTGCTTAAGAACCAAAATTTTAGATTATCAGGAATACTTTGTGTGCTGGTAATTTACACTGGACTCATTTTATGCCAGAATCTAAAGAGGTTGAGAATACTTTGGTTTTTGTCCAGTACTTTAAAAATTGTTACTTTTAGCTTAAGGTCGCTTCAAAAGCTTGTCCATCTCTAAGTAGCTCCACTGGAGGGAAAAGGCAGGAATGTGAATTGTTTGGGGGGGGGAAGCCTCATAGGTCTAATGTTTTGAACTTATTTATACACACACACACACACACACACACACACATGCTAATCCTATGCTACAAAGTTCATTCAGAAAAGATAAAAGATTTACTATTTCAGCAACTTCTACATGTTTTGTACCAACACTTTCTCAATTTAGAAGACATTTTCCCACACAGATGAAATAGTTTATATTTGTTTGATAGAAGCATTGCCAGGTGTCATGAGTTTCTTATGAAAGGGTGCTGCAACAATTCTAAGGCAGTTGGCCGCTCATGTTGGTCCCTGCATGAAGTGTTAAAAAAACCAGAAATTAACAGTAAGACAATAAAATCTTTGGTAGAAACCATATTACTCATTTTCTATCTATTTAATAACTTATATAAAAGAGGTACATCGATTCTTAAACCATGGTGCATTAATACATGCTTTTATTTACTCAAAGCCAAAAAGATAGTGCTATACTCTGAAAAAATATGTCAAAATATTAGCATTGCTCCAAGTTTTATTTTTAAACAAAATTCTATCAATCTTAAATGTTTTAAGATACTTATCTGGTATTTGAACTCAAGTTCATGCTCTTAAGTTTATTAAATTTGTTTTTCACCCTTTTTATGTATATAGTGCATTCAGAAAGTATTCAGACCTTCACTTTTGTCAGGTTATGCTGCAGCCTGATTCTGCAGTTGTTGAAATTCATTTTTTTCTCATTAATCTACATTCAGTACCCCATAATGACAAAGTGAAAACAGAATGTTAGAAATGTCTGTAAATTTATTAAAAAGAAAAAACTGAAATATCACATTGGCATAAGTATTCAGACCCTTTGCAACAACACTTGAAATTTAGCTCAATTGCCTCCCATTTCTCTTGTCTCTTTGCTGACATGTTTCTGCACCTTGATTAGAGTTGCCCTGTGGTAAATTAAATTGATTGGACATGATTTGGAAAGGCGCACACCTCTCTATCGAAGGCCTCACAGCTGACAATGCATACTGTAGCAGAGCAAAAGCCATGAGGTCAAAGGATCTGCCTGCAGAACTCAGAGACAGAATTATTACAAGGCATAGATCTGGGGAAGGCTACAATAAAATTTCTGCTGCACTGAAGGTTCCTAAGAGCACAGTGGCCTCCAGAATTCTCAAATGGAAGATATCTGGCACAACCAGGACTCTTCCAAAAGCTGGTCACCTGATCAAACTGAGCAATCAGGAGAGAAGGGGCTTAGTAAGAGAAGTGACCAAGAACCCAATGGTCACTCTGACTGAGCTCCAGAGATCCTGTGTTGAGATCGGACAGAGTTCCAGAAGGACAGCCATCACTGCAGCCCTCCACTGATCTGGGCTTTATGGCAGAGTGCCTAGACCAGTGGTTCTCAACCTGTGGGTCGACCATTTCACGGGGGTCGGCAAGCAAGGCTGTCTGCCATTTTTTTTGTCCGCCATTTTTTTCCCTTTTCCGGCGGGTGCCTTACCTCCCTTGGGCTGGGCCAGCTGGTGGTCGGCCTGCTCCGTCTCTGCTGCTTGCCAGCTACGCCTCGGCCGGCGCAGGGGGCAGAACCACGCATGCGCGGCACTCCCGGGCAGGGAAAGTCCTCGACTTATGACCGGTTTAGTCCTCGACTTATGACCGGTTTAGTCCTCGACGTACGACCGGTTTAGTCCTTGACTTACGACCGGTTGGGGTCGCGGCATTAAAAAGGTTGAGAACCACTGGCCTAGACAGAAGCCTCTCCTTAGTGCAAAACACATGAAAGCTAGCTTGGAGTTTACAAAAAAGCACCTGAAGGATTCTCAGACTAAGGAACAAGATTCTCTGGTGTGATGAAATCAAGATGGAACTGTTTGGTCTCAATTCTAAATGTTATATCTGGAGGAAACCAGGCACCACTCATCACCTGCCCAATATCCCAACAGTGGCCGCATCATATATGGGGGTGCTTTTCAGCAGCAGGCACTGTGAGACTGGTCAGGGTTGAGGGGAAGCTGAATGGAGCAAAATACAAGGATATCCTCAATGAAAACCTGTTCCACAGTGTTCAGGACCTCAGACTGGGCCAAAGGTTCACTTTCCAACATGACAATCCTAAGCACACAATCAAGACAACACAGGAATGGCTTAGGGACAACTCTGTAAATGATCTAGAGTAGCCCAGCCAGAGCCCTGACTTGAACCCTATTGAACATCTCGAGGGACCTGAAAATGGCTGCTCACCTGACTAAGCTTGAGAGGATTTGCAAGTAAAAAATGGCAGAAAAGCCCCCAATCCAAGTGTGCAAAGCTTGTCATGTCATACCCCAAAAGACTTGAGGCTGTAATTGCTGCCAAAGGTGCTTCAACAAAGTACTGAGTTGAAAGGTCTGAATACTTATAGGCCAATGTGATATTTCAGTTTTTTCTTTTTAATAAATTTACAGACATTTCTAACATTCTGTTTTCACTTTGGGTACTGACTGTAGATTAATGAGAAAAAAATGAATTTCAATAACTGTAGAACAGGCTGCAGCATAACAAAACTGACAAAAGTTAAAGGAGTCTGAATACTTTCTGAATGCACTGTATACAAATATGAAAAGTAAAATTAAACTTGACTGACCTTTTCCACAAGTCATAACAAAGATTCCAATGTAGCTAAGAATCTTTAAATTTAATGCCATATGGCCAGCTGCCAAAACAAATTATTTTTTCAGTTATGACTGAATATTTTGTATAATGTTTTCTACTGCCCAGCTACCATGGTTCCTGGTGGTTATTTAAATGATAACTAAAGTTTTCATATTACAGGTGTTTCTTTATTTTCTTTTCAGACGGCTAAGTATTAGAAAAATCTGTGTGCGATATTGACATTTCATAAAAATGGCCTATATCTGAGGTTACCATTGAAAACAAGTTTGGAAATGTCAGTTAATATGGTTGTAAGAAAAATGTTTTAAATCCTTTATAACTTGTCATTCCAGTATTGGAAGGCTCACCTCTCCCTGCATAATCCTACACAAATCTTAAGGCCATCTTCAAAGGTTCCATAGGGGTAAGCCTTCTTAGTAGAATTAGTTAGTTACCTGTCTTACTGTAACTTGCTTTCAAAACTTGCTCTCACAAGATAGGCAGGAAGACAAGTTTGTCTTGTCTTAAAAGGGAATATAGCAATAGCAATAGCACTTAAGACTTATACACCACTTCAGAGTGCTTTACAGCAATCTCTGAGGAGTTTACAGAATCCCCAACAATCTGGGTCCTCATTTTACCGACCTTGGAAAGTTGGAAGGCTTAGTCATGTCAAGTCTGCTAACATTGGGTGTTCTTGCTTGCCATATGTGAAGAAGCAAACATAACTTATTCAACCTACATATCACTTCAAGAGTTAAAGCAGACAATGTTATCCCAGTCAGTGGGAAAGTATGCCAGCTATAATCATAACAATATCTTTGCATAGCACAGCCAAGGTCAGCGTAACAGGGGAAACTAGGGAGGGAGAGATTCACACTTCAAATTAATTGGAGCATATGATTGATGACTGTGAAAGGAGTGAGTGAGTTGTGTGTTGTCACGAGTGCTTGGGTGGTGGGGGTTTCAGTTTTTGGCTTTCTATTGTTCGTGCCGAAACTATGTAGCCAATTAAAGGATTCTTTAAGGTAATCAAGTCTCAAGTTATTTGTAAAGCTGCTTCTTTTCGGAACCATGTCAAGTCAACTATGAGCCGGTCAAGATCAAACTCCTGACAGTGGGCAGTCAGCCTGCAATACTGCATTCTAATCACTGCCCCACCACGGCTCACAACATGGTAGTTTTTTGCTAAAAGGTAATTAATGGCAAGGAGATGTCCCTTTGGTCCCTTTCACATCTCTATAAAGTTTAGGAGTTTTCTGAATCAATATATGGACCCAAAGAGGTTTACAGGGAGAAAGGAGAAGGGAATTTTCCTGATTTGCCAATAAAAATCCATTTGCAATGCTGGAGGAAAAGCCAGTTTTTGCAGAACCAATTTTATATAGTGGTGAAGGTGGGGGGGGGGGGCAGAAACCAGGAGACAGCGGGTTCTAGACCAGGGGTAGGCAACCTTGGCTCTTTTATGACTCGTGGACTTCAACTCCCAGAATTCCTGAGCCAGCTGTGCTGGCTCAAGAATTCTGGGAGTTGAAGTCCACGAGTCATAAAAGCCAAGGTTGACTACCCCTGTTCTAGACTAACCTGACATGTACCTGAAGTACCCCAGAGACTCTTGCAGAAGACAAATGATTTAACACACACAAGAAAAGCATATATGAACCTGCACTGTATAGAAAAGGCTTATTCTCAATCCTAACTGGAAAGGTCAGAAAAGATGGACATGTTGTATACCATAAGTTTAATTGTGATTGAACTGCGATGCCTAAACTACTATTTTATTTTTTTAAGGAGCTCAAACTCAAGCAACCTGATTGTGTGAATTGTTTTAATGCGAATAAAACTAATTTTAGGTATACAAATCACGTACCTTGTTAAGCACAGATGTACAAAATCAACTGCTTTGTCTGAGCACTGTTTGGGTAGTGAAGGCATAAGTCCTTTGTGAGCAGCTATGTAAAACATGGCTGCTAGTTTATCCATGGCAGCCAATGGTGGCTTTCCAGTGGCCATCTCAAAAACAGTGCAGCCAATGCTCCAGATATCTGATTTCCTCCCATAGCCAGATTCATTGATCACTTCTGGTGCCATCCAATATGGAGTGCCGTGCACAGATTTCAGACCAAGTGACACACATAATCAGTCTGAGTGTGTCCGATTCGCGAAACGTGTAGGTTTCAGATACTCAAACTAACACGGTAATCCGTATTCGTATTGTAACAAAGGAAATTACAGAGACACGTGGTGCGTCAAAAGTACATTTATACGTTGAGGAACATGTTAGACAAAACATATAAATGTTTTGTGGTAAAGACTGTCATGCCCAAAGCGATGAATAATACTGGAAATGGAACCACCAGGAACAAACTCCATGAAGATGCTTACTATGTTATCTTCTAAACTCGTTCCCAAGTACCCCACAATGTTGACGTGTGTTAGGTTTTTCAAAATCTCAACTTCTTCTTGCAGTTTCTGGTATTCCTTTTTATTCCCAGCTTGGTCACATGCATTCAGTGCTACTTGTTTCACAGCTATTAATTGTCCTTGGCTTGTAAGTCCACAGTATACCTAAATATCAAAGCAGGTCATTTTGAAGTAGAACAAATAACAACATATTTGTTTTTGATTTAATTCAGCTTAATCACTTCAGCACTGGAAGTCCAATTGTCTCCCTCCCTAAACGGCAAACAGCAGTTCAAGGAATCACTTAACTAGGGAGATGCTAGATAGAACTTGGTCAAAAGTGCTGTAGTTTTTATTTCTGAGTAGGAAGTTGGACTCAATGGCATCTTCCGACTCAGTCATTTTATGACATTTTAATTATACAATTCTACTATTTATTTACTTATTTCATTTCTATCCTGCCAAATCAAAATCTCAAGGAAAGTTACAACTTATATGACACCCAAATTGAAAAAAAAAATACAGCAACAATATTGATTCAACCCCTTAATTAGTAGATCTGTAAGCTCAGGGGCAGTGTGACTCAATCCAGGCTGATATTGGAAGAGACAATGAGTCAGATGGCTTCTGACAAACAGTAACTGGGATTTGTTGGGATTCAGTCTGAGCTGATCTGACAGTCTCAAACACCAAGGACATTCACAGCATCTTCAGAATGGAGATCTATAGATATCATCAGCATATTGATTACTTTCCCCTCTCCCAGGGGTTTCATGTGGGATCATGAAAAAGATGGGAGAGAGGCCCCATTTTGTATAGCAGATGCTACAGGTCTGGTCACTCTTCTCCCATAATCACCAACCGTAACTGCTCACTCAGGAAGAAACAGAACCACTTTAACATATTTTCTCCTATCTTCCAAGTCTTGTAGGAAGTATAAACTGTAGTATGCATCTGACTGAGCATGGGTCAAGTCTTTTGTTAAGGACCATCTTACAGTAAAAGTGGCAAAATGTGCATTCAGAGAGACACTGGCTTTCTATCTCTAGGATGAATATACAATGGATATGTTCCTGTTACATCTGTGGATAGAATAGTGGCCTGTTTAGGGTGACTCAGTCCCTCTGAGGAGTTTTCAAGGCATCTGTCAGATAAACTCACTTGGAATCATACAGAGGTGGTCTTTCATTATACAGGTCTAATGGGGTGATTGAGGTAAGATCTTGCTTGGTTAACTGAGAAGTGTTTGAGTTTCTTAATTCTGAGGAATGCAGCCGTGATGCCATTGCCTCCTATGTTTTGGATCCATGTCCCCACCTGGCTGATCAAGGCTTCCTGGGAGGTGACGTGTAGTTGGAACCATGCAGTGGTAGCTACAGTTCCTCCTCTGAAAGAAGCAGCAGTTTGCATTGGGTCTGAAACTTCTGTCCCAGGAACAATAACTTGGAACAGTCCAATGCCAGCCCCATGATGACACTAGCTACTCAAGAAAAGCTGTTGCTTGGTAGCTGATACATTAGCAATATCATTAGCTTCTCTCTATTTTAGTCGTAGACTCTTGCAACTTCTCACCTTTCAAATAGGACAACAAGGTGAGGTATCACATATGGTCACACATACACTGTTGAAACACTTCTCCCATCCAGACTACACTAACACCTGCCAATATCATGTGTAACTCCACAATTAGGTTGCACAGAGACAGGGTTTTCTTACCTTGGACTTGGCAGTGAATAATAACAACCTGGAAATACTTCCAGTTGTTTCTACCTGTCCAATCCGATCTAGCAGGATGGGCATAGTCCAGGTTCCATCAAGCTGGCAGGAACCAGGAGAGATGCATTTTCTGCTATACTGCCTCTCCTCCAGAACACTATCCCACCTAAGATTAGGATGCCTGACTTTGCTGGCTTTTTGGAGGGCCTTGGAGCTCTGGATATGTGCCTGGGACTGAGGTTCTGAATGTGTAAAGGGCCCCATTTCCTGGTTACGCTGATGCTATCAGATTATAGTTATCTCTTGGCTGCTGTTTGTATTTAATTTCTTTCTGTAAATGTTTTAATTGTCTGTCTGCTGATTGGGTCCAGGGACTGAGCCTCAAGAGCCGGAATGTGAAACAAGTGTGTTACATTGTTCCTGTCTTGCCAAGGAATGACCTGCTCCTAGTCTCCCACCATAGGCACTGGTTTGAAATGGGTGGCTATATAAATTAAACAAACAAGCAAACGAATACTTTGCTCATTTCAACTCCCATTGAAATTAGTTGTGGAGATTTGCATCCTTAACAAGTTATGCGTGCAAACATTTGTACATCTAGGATATTTGGTCAAAGGCTAGATTCCAAACAGAAGACGGACAGGGCAAAATCAACTGTATTAATAACTAGTTGCCTTATATAAAGAAATTTGTTAAGAGAATTTTCTAGTTTTAACGATATTCAGAAGTTTAATTTGATTCCAAGTTTATATCTCAGTATCATTTAAATTTGTGCTCCATTTTGAGAGTTTCTGTCCAAAAGGAAATAATTAAACTACTTAGAATACAATACACAAAATGCGGTCAGACACAATACGACTTACGGTGCCATATGCTCCTTTTCCAAGGATTTCACCTTTAGTCCACAAGATACATTCTTGGTTAATTAAACTGTTTTCTGAAAATGCAGTTTCATGTAGAAGTGGATTTTCTTCATCAAATCCCATAAAATCCAGATAAAAAGTCTGAAAAAGATGTCAGAAAAATAGAATACTGCTAGGCAATAGAAGATAAATACAGATGGTTTGTCAGTTGTTTTGAGAATTATGTTTACATGAAGTAAATTCTACACTGCAATATCTGAAATTGAAAAGAATTTCTGCTTGTCATATCACAGCCCTGAGACTAAGACTGAAGTTGCTACTATTCAATTTAAAATTATTATTCAGAGACAGATTGGTTTTATATCCCTAGGATGAATACATAATGGATTAGCATTGTCAAAAATTTATTAACTAAATGTCCTAATTTAATTGATTGGGAGCCACCCATAGTGGCTATATAAATATTTTAAATAATAAAATAAAAGTAAGTAAAATATAATCTAAATAAAGATGCTGAAGACAGCAAAGGATAATGATCTCCCTGACCTGCTTGTAAGTGTGTGAACAGATCAGGTTATCTGCTGGACTAGAAAAATATTATTTGTTTGATCCAGTAAACAAATTCTTATGCTTTAACATTTTTAAATGGGGATATAAGAGAAAGAAGAAATAAGAAGAAAAATGTAGAAACTAAAGTACAGCAAAGCCTAAATATTAGACTGTGTTATAAAAGTGGTGCTCACTTACCTTATTATTTTTAACTTTTGCTGTTCTCCAGTCTCCACTTTGTGCCTCTACATTTATATTTCTGGTCATTGAGCTAGAATTGTTGCCATCTGTCCCACTCAAAGAAAGTAGTTCAGTGACTGAGCAACAGAATATGTCTTCTGTTACTTCCTTATAATCTTTGTACCCAAAGATATTTGTATATGACTGAGAGATTGAGTTTGCAAGATAGTAAGTCCATGCAGTTGTCATATTTGCTACGCTGACATTTTCAAGCTGGAAATTTTCAAGAGAAAATGAGCTTATTTGGTCTGTAAAAAAGGATGGAGACGGCTTTTGATTATACTCATAGTGTAAAATCTGGCTTGCTTCCTGCTCCACAAGGCAATCAGCTGTTCTGTTTTGTCCATCCTTTAAAGTCCTACTGTTGTTTGCATTATTTGGTTCATTTATATTTTTCACACGGCTTAAGAAAGGAGCGTATTCTGCATGAACTTTAACTTCTGGCCAAAGTAACTCCTGAACATTGGTGGCAAATACTTTCATAGGAAAAGCATCATCTTTATCTCCATCATCATTATCTGAAGTATATTCCAAAGAAGCTTCTTCAATTGGTGACAAGACTGAATTAGGAAATACTTCATTTTCCTTAGCAGGTTCAGGGAATTCAATGGAAATCTGAGCTTGCTGATCTTCACAAATTGACTCAGTGCTCTCCTTTGGCTGAATCTGCAGATCAGCAAAAGAGACAGTCACATCTTTGCCCTGTTCTAGACCACAACCTGTTAACTTGGACACCTTTTTTGGTGCAACTTCCTTCTCCTTCAGTTTTGGTTTAATACTAAGGCTCTTGTGAGATTTAGAGAATGTTTTCTTCTGGGGACTTTTTATTCTGCTACTCTTCTTCCCATTGAAATGGTTGGATTTATATTTCATATCATTATGCCATCCAGTTGGAGCAGAACGCACATTCCTGTTACCCTTATTCTCACCATATCCATCAGGCTTACGGGAATATACCGGAGTCCCAAACATTTCATAAATGCCAGGTCCTTTGCTGTTAGAATGTATTTCCTTGAACATGTCACTGTATTTCAGATTCAAATGGTCTACTGGGAGTTGTGCTTGTCCAACAGGCAATGGAGAGACTGTTTTTCTCAAACTAGCAGAACTTGGGGAAATACAGGGAAGCACTTCCTTTGTAGAACTCTGATCAATATGCTGGAAGCATTTTTTCTCCTGTTGCAGATTATTTTTTTGAAGTTTTGAAGATATCTCAGTTTCTTCATGAGACAATCCTAAAGAATGAGAAATAGGATTTTTTATCTTATTTTGATGCTGAATGGAACTCTTGCCCCAAATCATTAACTTCTGAGTCATTTTGGTACACGGTTTAGTGTTTAAAAGATGTCTGTTGCTATTTCCTTTATATCTGCCACTCTTCTTGTGAGCAAAAATATTGAAGCTTTGGTTTATGTTAGGCAGCATGCTCTTTCTTTGGGACAAGCATAATCTTACATTTCTATTCAAACCATCTGTTGGGCAAACCGGAGTATCAGATGATTCAAAACCTACTAAGGTATTAAGTCATTAAAATATGATCTTTGATAGTTTTGTTCTGCACAGCAGCACTTCCAAATGCAGCCTTTTTTACACTTTTCTTGTGATGTTTTCACCTCTGATGATTCTTCTTTGCTTAATCTAATTTAGGGACACTCTTACTTGTTAAATCTTTTTCCCGCACCACTAAGACTTAAAAATATCTTTATGTCTTGAAGGATTAACATTCTGATTCTTTTGCTTCAGGAAATATTTCACTTGGGTTGAGACAACTCTCAGAACAATCGAAATCACAACTGCTGTTTATATTATCTATATTCTCAGAGATCACTAGTACTTTATGGGTTGCACAATTGCTAGATTTTTGATATATGCCTTAGATCTGTTGCATTTCAACTGGAGTTCAATTTCTTGGGCTTCGGAGTAGCCATAGACTATGCAATGTTATTCTGAGTAATGGATATGAATATTCCAACTGCACAGGGAAGCTTCCAGATGTATTACTGAGGATGTGATAATCAGACTGCTGCTGACCATCTGCCTGGAGGTCAATTTTCCTGAATGGTGAATGAGAATTCAGAATATGTGAAAGATTGTTAGCATTATTATCTTTCTTAGTGTTCTTTCTTACTTGAGGAAGTTACTGTATATTGCTTTGATAGGTTGTCAAAAAGTTTCTGTAAGTTTCAGAAAATAATTTATAGAATACTGTTACTAATGTTTTACCTAGAAACCTCCTACGTGAATTAAATATGATACTTAATAAAAGCAGCATTTAGTTTACTTTTTAAAAATTACAACGGAAAGAAGAACAACCCACAATAAAAGCATCCTTATATCAGCCAGGACCCATTCCATGCTTAAAATGTACAAAACCCAGACTTAATGGAACAAAAAGATACACAACTGGTATATGTAGCACATTCATTGTTTTAGTTTAAATCACTTAAAAGCTAAGTGAAAGCAAAATAGAATTCAAAGGTTTACTAGGACACAAAATTATTCTGTAAATAGAGACTAAGACTACAATTTGTAGAATTCCCAAAAAGCACGGACAGTGGAATTCTGGGAGTTGTGAGCCAGTTGGGTGATTTTAGGCCATTCATTCGCTCTCAGTCCAACCCACCTCACAGGATTGTTGTTTTGGGGAAAATAGGAAGAGGAAAGAGTATTAGGTATGTTCCCCCCCATGTTATTTATAAAAATAATAAAGGCTGGCTAAAAATAAATAAAAAATGGAGATACAAAAGAATGAGCACAATGGGCTTCCAAACAAAGGAGCTTTCCCTTTATATTTTACATATCAGCTGAGATTTTATAAAAAAGATTTCAGTGGCAAACCTGGCAGCTCACTCATCTCAAGATGCTGTTTGTCTCTTTTATGCTATTTACCACATCCATATTTGAGTAATAGGTGGAAACAGTAGAAAGTATATTTCTTNAATAATAATAATAATAATAATAATAATAATAATAATAATAATAATAATAATAATAATAATAATAATAATAATAATAATAATAAAGTTGGAAGGGACCTTGGAGGTCATCTAGTCCAACCTCCTGCTCAGGCAGGAAACCCTATACCATTTCGGACAAATGGCTGTCCAGTTTCTTCTTAAAAACTTCCAGTGTTGGCGCTTCTGGAGGCAGGTTGTTCCACTGGTTAATTGTTCTAACTGTCAGGAAGATTCTCCTTAGTTCTAGGTTGCTTCTCTCCTTGATCAGTTTCCACCCGTTGCTTCTTGTCCTGCCTTCAAGCGCTTTGGAGAATAGCTTGACTCCCTCTTCTTTGTGGCAGCCCCTGAGATATTGAAACACTGCTATCATGTCCCCCCTCGTTCTTCTCTTCGTTAAACTAGATATACCCAATTCCATTTTTTTTCTGAGTAGAAAGTTGGACTCAATGGCATCTTCCAACTCAGTCATTTTATGACATTTTAATTATACAATTCTACTATTTATTTACTTATTTCATTTCTATCCTGCCAAATCAAAATCTCAAGGAAAGTTACAACTTAAATGACACCCAAATTGAAAAAAAAAATACAGCAACAATATTGATTCAACCCCTTAATTAGTAGATCTGCAAGCTCAGGGGCAGTGTGACTCAATCCAGGCTAATATTGGAAGAGACAATGAGTCAGATGGCTTCTGACAAACAGTAACTGGGATTTGTTGGGATTCAGTCTGAGCTGATCTGACAGTCTCAAACACCAAGGACATTCACAGCATCTTCAGAATGGAGATCTATAGATATCATCAGCATATTGATTACTTTCCCCTCTCCCAGGGGTTTCATGTGGGATCATGAAAAAAGATGGGGGAGAGGCCCCATTTTGTATAGCAGATGCTACAGGTCTGGTCACTCTTCTCCCATAATCACCAACCGTAACTGCTCACTCAGGAAGAAACAGAACCATTTTAACACATTTTCTCCTGTCTTCCAAGTGCATCTGACTGAGCATGGTCAAGTCTTTTGTTAAGGACCATCTTACAGTAAAAGTGGCAAAATGTGCATTCAGAGACACACTGGCTTTCTATCGCTAGGATGAATATACAATGGATATGTTCCTGTTACATCTGTGGATAGAATAGTGGCCTGTTTAGGGTGACTCAGTCCCTGTGAGGAGTTTTCAAGGCATCTGTCAGATAAACTCACTTAGAATCATACAGAGGTGGTCTTTCATTATACAGGTCTAATGGGGTGATTGAGGTCAGATCTTGCTTGGTTAACTGAGAAGTGTTTGAGTTTCTTAATTCTGAGGAATGCAGCCGTGATGCCATGCTGCCTCCTATGTTTTGGATCCATGTCCCACCTGGCTGATCAAGGCTTCCTGGGAGGTGATGTGTAGTTGGAACCATGCAGTGGTAGCTACAGTTCTTCCTCTGAAAGAAGCAGCAGTTTGCATTGTGTCTGAAACTTCTGTCCCAGGAACAATAACTTGGAACAGTCCAATGCCAGCTCCATGATGACACTAGCTACTCAAGAAAAGCTGTTGCTTGGTAGCTGATACATTAGCAATATCATTAGCTTCTCTCTATTTTAGTCATAGACTCTTGCAACTTCTCACCTTTCAAATAGGACATCAAGGTGAGGTATCACATATGGTCACACATACACTGTTGAAACACTTCTCCCATCCAGACTACACTAACACCTGCCAATATCATGTGTAACTCCACAATTAGGTTGCACAGAGACAGGGTTTTCTTACCTTGGACTTGGCAGTGAATAATAACAACCTGGAAATACTTCCAGTTGTTTCTACCTGTCCAATCCGATCTAGCAGGATGGGCATAGTCCAGGTTCCATCAAGCTGGCAGGAACCAGGAGAGATGCATTTTCTGCTATACTGCCTCTCCTCCGGAACACCCTCCCACCTGAGATTAGGATGCCTGACTTTGCTGGCTTTTTGGAGGGCCTTGGAGCTCTGGATATGTGCCTGGGACTGAGGTTCTGAATGTGTAAAGGGCCCCATTTCCTGGTTACGCTGATGCTATCAGATTATAGTTATCTCTTGGCTGCTGTTTGTATTTAATTTCTTTCTGTAAATGTTTTAATTGTCTGTCTGCTGATTGGGTCCAGGGACTGAGCCTCAAGAGCCGGAATGTGAAACAAGTGTGTTACATTGTTCCTGTCTTGCCAAGGAATGGCCTGCTCCTAGTCTCCCACCATAGGCACTGGTTTGAAATGGGTGGCTATATAAATTAAACAAACAAGCAAACGAATACTTTGCTCATTTCAACTCCC